TATTCCTAAACAAACATCTGTAAAGGGAAGCTGGAAGGAATTTGAGGGAGTGAAGGAGGAAAGAAGGTAAGAGAATGATAAGAGGGAAGGAAGGGAAGGAAGGAGGAAGGAAGGAAGGAAGGAAGGAAGGAAGGAAGGAAGGAAGGAAGGAAGGAAGGAAGGAAGGAAGGAAGGAAGAAGAGATTTATGATGCTCCTTGCTAGCTTCCCAACGGGAAAATTGGCAGGAAATTGAAAATCACTCTTGCTGTTTTTTTGCCTGCCATGTCATTCCATTACTCTGATTAGGTCAGGAAATATCTCTAAAATGATGACCCAACTGGTCATAGGTTGTCTAGTATATACTAACTTGGATACAAGTTAGAAATGGCTGTTCTTGGCAACACTGTAGAAATTTCAGAACAGATTCTTAAATAGAATCTGTTTGGAATACATAGAATGATATGGGCCTATTCTGAAAATTTATTTAGACTTTTTGAAAGATCATTGCTCTATCTCAGATTTAGTGTTTTGTTTGGGATGTATTAACTGTAGAACTTGATTATGGTGGTAAGTGTAATTTCAATTTGCAGAAAGGAAGAGACTGGTTGTCATGCTGTGTAAGTAGGATTTCTATACTGTGCTTAGAATGAAATCCTACTTAGCTAGCATTATATTTTTTAAAAAAGCAATAATCATACACACACACACACACACACACACACACACACGACTTGACAAAAGAAAGCAAAGGAAGTATTAATAGTCTCAGGTGACTTGCGTGTAGTCCCAAAACAAATAGAGCAGCACTTAAACACCATTGGCATTGACAAATTCACCACCAGTCAATTGCAAAAGGCAACTTTACTTGGAACAGCCTACATCCTATGACAATACCTCTAACATCATCAAACCTCCACCCTCCACTTCCCAGGTCCTTGGGAAGAACTTGATACATGGACAAGTCATCAAATCCAGTCTGAACATCTCTCTCTCTCTCTCTCTCTCTCTCTCTCTCTCTCTCTCTCTCTCTCTCTCTCTCTCTCTCTCTCTCTCTCTCTCTCTCACACACACACACACACACACACACACACACACAAAATTGAATTGAATACTTTATTTGGCCAATATGTAATTAGACACATAAGGAGTTTGCCTCTAGTGCAAACTCTCAGTGCACATGCAAAGCAATAGAATAATGATAATCATAATAATACCAATAAGACAGTGGAGCAAAGAAGATAATAGAAGGATAAATATTAATACTACAGTCATACTACATGGTTAAATACACAGAGACTTTAGATAGAACTATGAGAACTAAGTCTTCAGCAAAGTGATGGCATGAGGGAAAAAAAACTATTTGTGTGTCTGGTTGTTTTGGCATGCAATGCCCTATAGCATCGTCCCGAGGGGAGGAGTTGAAAACAGTTTATATCTGGGATGTGAGGAGTCTGCAGATATCTTCTCAACTCCCCTTCGGGCCTGCACAATATCCAGGTCTTCTATGGAAGACAGGCTGGTTGCAACTGTTCTTTCTGCATATCCATATTAACACCTCAAAGGTCTTTAAAGCAACCGGCCTGTAGTTATTCGGCTCCCTGATGAAAGATTTCTTAGAAACCAGAATGATGGGGGAGCATTTGAAGCAAGAAGGGGCATAACACATCCCTAGTAATTTATTAAAAATTCATGTAAGATGGGGGCCAGTTGTTCAGCACAAGCTTTCAAGCAAGAAGGAATCACTCTGTTTGAGCCTGGTGCTTTTCTGAAATAGACTTCACCAATCTTTTTCTAGGATCATCAGAGGTGGGGGCCCAGAGACACAGAAATAGGTGTAAGAAAATTGGCTACTGTTGGTGTGTTTGAAATAGGGTAAGTAACAGTAAATGACAGTGTTCTCCTCTCAAATCCACAGCAGAACACATTCAGATCATCTGCAGTTGATGATTCTCTTCAGGAAAGGAGGGTGGTCTGCTGTAGGTAATGATGTTCTTCAGGCTTCTCCACACAGTTGTAGTTCAAAAGTTGAACTGATTTCTCAGCTTTTTAGAGTGCCTCCTCTTTGCTACCCTGATTTCCCCTGTTAATACATTCCTTCCCTGATTGTATAAGGTACTATCTTCTTTCCTATAGGTTTTGGCATGACAAAGCTGCTTGAGTTTAGCTGTAAACCAAGGCTTATTGTTGTTATATATACAGAAACTCTTGGTAGGCACACACATGCCCTCACAAAGTTAACATATGATGTTACAGTCTCAGTAAATTCATCTAAGTACTCTGAAGCAGCTTCAAAAATATTTCAGTCCATGCAATCGGAGCAACCTGTATCTTTTATTTTGCCTCCTCAGTACAGCTCTTCATTGTTCTTACCACTGGCTTTGCACTTTCAAGTTTCCACTGTAGGTGGACATAAGATGGATCATACAATAATGAGAAGGACCTGTGGCTGCCCAAGGAAAAGAGCAGTAAGTATCTTTTAATGTGGACTAGCAGTAATTCAATATGTTCTTGCCTCTAGTGAGATAGCTGAAATCGGAGTGTATCTGGGCAACTCATGAGGTTAGCTCTGTTAAAATCCATAAAACAATGAGTAAGGATCTGGATATTTCCTCTCTGCTACAGTCTGCAGCACTCTGCATATGCAATCCATACATATAGAATTTTTATTTTAAGTTTTACACATGTACACAGTGCTGTACAATTATCATGTAACTGTTCAATTACACTGTTTCCAGAATGCAACCTAGAATTGAGAAATTTCCTGTCATTTAGAACAATTAATCAGTGGAACGACTTGCCTCCAGAAGTTGTGGTGTTTAAGATAGATAGACAGCCATTTGTCTGAAATGGTATAGAGTTCCCTTTTGAGCAGGTGGTTGGACCAGTAGATCTTCAAAATCCCTTCGAACTCTGTTCTGCTTACTTCTTATATACCCAATGAAATCCCATCCTTCCTTACAAAACAGTGATTCATTACTTTGGTTTGACATACAATTGTCCTTATCATATTCTTTTTCAATAATGCTGTACATAGGATACTATTATTCATCTATACATTGAAATACTATCCCGATATTTACATTATTTAGCAGTGACTAATTTGATTACTATAAGCAAAATTCTTTTTTTTACTTACATTTTTTATTTTTGGTATCATATTTGTAACAAATGTGGCCTTGGAAAAAATTGAATCTTTTATTTATTTTTAACCAGACATTTTGTTTAAATACCTTGTTTCAAAATTCTCATATTCTGCTGCATTCCTACCACAGATGAATGAATAATTCCTTTGACTGACAGCCTTACCAACATCTCACTGAATATTGAAAAAGTGAGATTCTGATGCAAATGTTAAGATGCATGGATGCTTGATACTACCATACAATATCTGCCATACTGCCAGATATTGTCACCTACTTGTTCTTCTAAATCTAAGACCCATTTAACATAGCATGTAATTTATACTTTTTACCAAATTAATAGAATGGAGTTAATTTTCAGCTGCTTGGAATTCAGCATTCAGAACTCTTCTAGTATTCAGAAGGCATAAATGTTTTGCCTAAATGTTAATAAAGAAAAAAGAGGGAGTCTTCCACTCTTAACACATTATTTTTGTATTTCTAAGAATATTTCCCAGGAATAACTGGAATGCCCTTTCTCACTATTTATTTATGCAGGCAGCTATAGTTCTGCTTCCAATACTGTCTACCAGGGTAAGGATGATGGGTGTCAAAATAAAGGGAACTTTTGAAAGCATGCACAGTCCTATACAAAGCTTTGCAAGAAGTCATGGCTCTTTAAGCTTGAGCTCTTTTCTGCTGATAACATGGAGATTGGAAATATTTCATTTTATAGTTGGCTTCAGTCATTTTACTCATTGGTAAGTTTTATATTGTCCAGACCACTAATACTATATCCTATATTTCATTTTATTAATATATCCTGATCTGAAGTAAGGAATTTTTTGACTTATGACAGCTTCAGTCTTTTTGTTGTTCATATTTCAGGAATGCAAATCTAAGGTTAAAGAAAATTAGCCACAACACTGAGACATCATGTCTTTGTCTGTTCATAGTTAAAAATATGACTTATGAGAAGAAAACAGGTAGGACCTTGGAAGACTGGCAGTTATAATCTATCAATTCTTGTCAGTATATTGGCAACAAAAGTCAACAATTACATTGTAGTAATTGTAGTAATTAAGTTACATAAATGCAGCACAGAAAGGATCTTAATTTAATGGTTGTAGCTTTAACTACTAACCAAAACTCCACTTTCTTTCCTCCAGTGCCATTGATTTTAGTTTTGTTGGCAGATGAGCATAAATTCTGTTTTACAATATAGACAAAAAATATCAATAAAAAGGGAGTTGACTTTGTGAAGACTAGGGAGAGACTTATTGTGAACCATGCAATATCAGTGCTAAGATGTTGACTTATCTGAAGTTTTTCACAATCAAGTGGGTATCACCTGAGCCAGTTTGGTCTACTGATTAAGGCACCAGGCTTGAAAACGGAAGATCATGAGTCCAAGTCCTGTCTTAGCTATGAAAATTAGCTTGCTGACCTTAAGCCAGTCAGTCTCTCTCAGCCCAATCCCCCCCCCCCGACAAGGTTGTTATGGCAAAACTATGAGAAGGAAAGTGTGTTGGATATGTTTGCTGCCTTGAGTAATGCCTTAGCTAGATGAGAATAGACTGAAGTTTGATTATCTGTTGTGTTAATCTTCTATTTTGTGTAATAGGAATCAACACAGATAAATTTATTTCCCATTCCCTACTATTTTTTTTCTCCTGTTAATGACAAAGAACAAGAGCCTTTGGTTAACCAGATTTCTTCCTGATCAAAGGACAGTGCTAGAGGCATTTCTATGGATCTGTTCATCCACTTTTTGATTTTTCTCACCATGGCCCCTGTATGTTACTAGTTTTAATAAAACTATACAATCTGAGCCTAATTTGATCCAAGGTCCCATCGTCTGCACTGTTTAATTTTCATGCTCAGTGCAATGACTACTTACTCAAAAGGATCACTGGGATCAGTCCTTTGGAGCTCCGGTGGAATTGGTATTCTTTTGTAATACATCTCCCAGTCAAAGGCTCCACGCATGGCATCCCCTGCTTGTGCCTCATACCCAAAGTGATTGTGGTCAATGACATCAATCATGGGACATACAATAGTTTTATAGTTCAGTGCAATCTGGTCTGAAATATGGAAACAGAAAATATGAAAACAGCAAGACAGTCAAGCCATTTATCAACTTACCCCCCCCCAAAAGCCATTGGAAGCCATTCTTCCCTCTTCCTCTGCTTTACTGTTTTTTAATTGGAAGATTGTTTAGACAAGTCCCCATGGTCCTAGAAGCATTTCAGTTTTCATATCTGCATCCAGCCTCGGTCTTGTCTAGGCTTAATGCACTTGCACAATGATTAGAAGCAATTATAGTTCTTCAAAAAGAGAAGCATCCCAGTGAGACCATCAAAGTCAAACCATGTATATCTTTGTCATTGCACTGCTCTGTGCTGTCTCTAATCTCTCATATAAGGAGCCAACAAGAATGCTCAGAAAGAAAAATGAAGGAAAAATGTTCATTTGAGGTTTGCATACAATATTCACAAAGAAAATGCTGCTTCTTGTTAATGAAATATATTTGGTTTTGCTGTAACCCAATACTTGAACGGTAGGGATCTTCCAGTCCATTACACTTTTATATACCCCATAATACTATTTTATGTCTGAATTAATCTACAAAAATTAATTTGCAAAAAAGAAGCTCCAAAATTTTAGGGTATTTATTTCATCTCACAATATTAGTGGCATAAAGGGTATTCAGATGAATCCCAAGTTAAACTGGATTCTTAAGCTGATTTTGTCAGGTTGATCAGGTGACTATATCTAAAGACATCTTCTCATCTAGTATGATCCAACACTGTCAGCAGGCTTTGGGTCATTTAGTTTAGGCAATAAACTTACTTTGATTAAGCATGAGTCAATGTTTCTGAGCTTTACAGAAAAATAGAATCTTTCAGCCTTTCCTTAATGCAGTAAAACTAATAGAGAAAGCTTTCAGAGTCCAAATGGAGTACTGAGGAAGCAGAGGCAATGAGTACAGGAAGTTGAACAGGAGAGAAAAAAATATACTTGTATGACTGAGAAAGTTAGGAGAAATATTTCTGACACTTAATTTTGCTGCTACTGCAGTGACAATATGGAAGAACTACTTTGAAATTTGGTGCCTCTATTGTCAATCCCTATCCTGCTTCAATTGTTTCTGTTTCAAGTTACTAATTGCCTTCAAAGGAAACAAGTGACAAAATCTAATCACAGCTTGAGGAATGTTTTGTATAGTGTCAGAATTAGAAGAAAAAAACTCTACCTTAATTACAAGTAGACCTAAGGACAACTAAAGCCTATCTTACTTCATGGATTGAAGGGAGAGAATGATAAAATTGCGGTTTGTCACGCAGCCACCATGGATGGCTGGGAGATTTGCTCTCTCTCCCCCATTCAGTTTTGCATTGCTGGGGGGGCCTGAAAAGGGCTGAAAGTTGCCCCAAAGAGGCAACCAGCAAGGAGGGGCTTTCACTGGATCGCAGGAGAGCAGCAACTCTCCCATTAGAGCAGGTGATCCCTCCAAACTGGCAGACGAAAGGACCAGCCATAGAAATATGGCTCGTCCCTAGGCTGCTAACAGTTGAAGTCATATTACCATCTGGCAACTTCAAAGCAGCGTGGACAGGACTGGGTGAGTACTACCTCTCTTACCTCCTAATTACTTAATTAGCTGCATAAGCTGCTAAAGTACTTTCCCCCCTGTGATGAGGGAAGGGGGATTTTAGCCCTCCCTTGAGAAACAGCGGCAATCAACCACTCGGGAGTTTAAAACGTTGGAAAAATACTGGGATCCTAATTGGAATTCTGTTTCCTAAAATTGGTGGATTATAAGACTTGTAACTTTCTATTCTCTATATTTTTTCTCTGATTTTTATTCTAATTACTATTGAAGATTTGGGGGGGGTCCCCTTAAAATAGAGTGGGGGGAACTGAAAAGATCCAACTAACTCTGAGATGTAACCTGCTATTCTTTAAGAGAGACTTGTTGACAGCTTTGAAAATAGATAAGATATAAAGCAACCTTGAAGCACCATCAGCTCCTCACTTGGTGGACTTTCTGACTGTTAGGTTTTTTTTTTAGTGGAAGAAGAAGAACAGGAATGGATTTCTTCTATGGAGGAAGTACAGGAACAAATTCTTTGTATGTTAAAAGCGATTATCCAAACTCTATATGTAAGTCTGGATATGCAAACTCAAATTATGACTTCAACCAAAGAATCATCTATACAGAATTCTATAGAGAAAGTGAAACAACCAAATGCTATGACAGAAGACTTAGATACTCAACAAATACAGACAATGGAAAACACAAAAAAGAAACTGATAATAGAGAACAAGGAAAGGACTTTTCTTATAAACCAGAAGGAATTTGAAGATAAAAAAGAAAAACAGATGAAAGAGAAGATAAATACTTCAGGACAACTGCATCGAACTGGAAAAACAAAGAGACAACCTGCTAAATCAGCTAATCCTCTTAAGAAAACATTAACTGGACACTCTTACCAACATCAAACAATAGCCACAATAATTCAAAAAGATCTTTTTGATGATTTAAAAGCAAAGATTCGAAAAATGACCTGGCAGAGAAAAAAAGCTAGAATAAGATTGAAAAAGATTGGGGTTTTGATCTACACATGAGATCTAAAATAGAATATATCTGAATAGATAGAATATGTATTCTGAACACAAGATATTGTAACAATTTGAGATAAAGAAAATTTTGATCATATGAAACCTAGAAATATAAATTTTGAAATAAGAATACTCTACTGTTTTATTAGTTTGTTAAGATAGATGGTAGAATTTATATATAAGGGATGTATTTTAAATATTAGATTGTATGAGGAATTGTGATAAAGGAATTGTGTTTAATTAAATTTTTGGAAAAAAAATATTAAATGTTATATAAAAATATTAAGAGAAAATTAACCATCAGGTCACTGATTGGCTAAAAGTTTGAATGTTTACAAATAACTAAAATTTGAATTTAAGATATTGTTATGAGTTGAGACAAAGGTTAAGTAAAACTTAGGAGTATAAATGCTAATAATTAAATTTGTATATGGGTTTGTGGTACAAATGCTGGTGGTTTATTTTTTTTTTCTCTTTTTTTTCTGGAAAGGAAGAAAGGAAGGAAGTAGAAGGAAGAAAATAAAAAAATTATTAGCCCCAAATATGAGATAGGAGACTTAGAAATTGGGATCATTTAAAATCTGGAAATGATAAAGATTAAATGTTAAATTTAAATATCAGTGGGAAATTAAAGTTAAGAAAAACTTACTAGGTTATTGTCTAAAAGATGGAATGTCAAATTAATTAAGATATGTATAGACTGAAGATCATTGATGAATACTAGAAAGGTATTTTTTGTTTGATTGATAGAATAAAAAATGTATTGGTTCGAATATGACAATAAATATTATTGGAGAAAGAGAGAGAATTAATTGTTGTAATACTCTGAGATTTATACTGATGATATTCAAATGTAATGGAATTACTGTGCTCAGCCACCATGCTACTTTTCAAATATGTAAATGTAATATTGGAAAATTAATAAAAAACTTGGGGGGAAAAGGTAAAAATCACAGGTGTGCAATGAAAAATGAGTTCCAGAAAATGGTTGTGCTGTGGTTACATGCAAATGGAGAAAGCATTGTATTTGCAAAACAGATTCCATTCAAATTTTGCTTCTTCACAGCATAGAATAGGTAGAACCACTCTCAGCTATGGATCTACCAAATGATAATATCCATAAACATTGTTTTTAGGAATCACACCCAAATCAAAACATTTGGTTGCACAATGAATCTTTTTGTGTCTATCTGTCATTGTATATAGTTATCATTTCAAAAGTGATAGAAGAGGTGAAGAAAGAAACAAAGGCAAAAATATTCTAATATTCAGATTAAGGTACTTTATGCCACTTACTTAGTAAAGGAGGTAGCCAGTTCACATTAACTTCACAGTGTGAATCTAGAAAAGTCAATACTTCTCCTTTAGCTATTGTAGCTCCAAGTAATCTGGTGCGAATAAGTCCTTCCCGCTTCTTGGTGCGCACAATTCTCACTTTGTCAATATGTGCCATATATTCCTCCAGGTTTTTTTTTAAATGTTCTACAAAAAACATGGATAAGAATATGAAAGCATAGGTTGGAAAGGGATAACTTAAGAATATATGATCCTTTTCATTATATATATTCATGTTCACATTGCTTTTTTTCCAGAGCCAAACTGTTTTAGGCGCCTCATAAATTGCAAATGTTCTCTGTATAAATACACAAAAAGAAGCCACTGACATTTTAAACCTCTTCATATCACATTCACTGTTGGCAAACTTCCATCCTGCACAGAATCATAATTATACTGACCACAAGATGCTCATCAATCCTCCAGAGCCTGCTGTCCAAGGCCAAATGAACATTCTGGCATATGGTTTTGTAAATGGTGCCCTTTCTAAATGAGCTTACCAGCCCATTAATTATGTAAAATATGCATAGTATGAAGGTGTGTGTATTTCCATTTATATAGTTAAATCAGCATTAATGAAGGTGCAAGATCAAATCAACTTTGGAGCAACTTCAAAAATTAGGAACTAATTTTAAGCAAATAAATAATTGCTAAGCTTTATTAATTGTTGTTGTTGTTGTTGTTAATTGCGAAGTCGTGTCTGACCCATCGCGACCTCATGGACAACATTCCTCCAGATCTTCCTATCCTCTACCATCTTCTGGAGTCCATTTAAGTTCACACCTACTGCTTCAGTGACTCCATCCAGCCATCTCATTCTCTGTCGTCCCCTTCTTCTATTGCCCTCAATCTTTCCCAGCATTAGGCTCTTCTCCAGTGAGTCCTTCCTTCTCATTAGGTGGCCAAAGTATTTGAGTTTCAACTTCAAGATCTGGCCTTCTAAAGGGCAGTCGGGGTTGATCTTTTCTAGGACTGACCGGTTTGAACGCCTTGCAGTCCAAGGGACTCGCAGGAGTCTTCTCCAGCACCATAGTTCAAAGGCCTCAATTCTTTGGCGCTCAGCCTTTCTTATAGTCCAACTTTCACAGCCATACATTGCAACTGGGAAAACCATGGCCTGGACTATACGTACTTTTGTTGGCAGGGTGATGTCTCTGCTTTTTAGAATGCTGTCTAGATTTGCCATAGCTTTCCTCCCCAGGAGCAAGCGTCTTTTAATTTCTTGGCTGCAGTCCCATCTGAGGTGATCTTGGAGCCCAGAAAAATAAAATCTGTCACTACCTCCATTTCTTCCCCATCTATTTGCCAGGAATTGAGAGGGCTGGATGCCATGATTTTGGTTTTCTTAATTATTTATTAATAGAAGTTAGCTATATTACCCTTCCCCTTTCAATTCTTCTTGCTGACATTTCAGAACAGGCATCAGAAAAACAAAGAGACTGTGAATTCTAGGCTGCCTTAGATACAAAGCCAGCTACTTATTTTCCCTATTTTCGGAAGGAGGCAAATCACTTGTCAATACTTAATCAGAACAGAGTTGGGAGGGACCTTGGAGGTCTTCTAGTCCAACCCCGTGGTCAAGCAGGAGACCCTATACCACGTCAGATAGGTGGCTGTCCAGTCTTTTCTTAAAAACCTCCAGTGATGAAACACCTACAACTTCTAAAGGCAAGCTGTTCCATTGATTAATTGTCCTCACTGTTAGGAAGTTTCCCCTTAATTCCAGGTTGCTTCTCTCCTTGCTTACTTTCCATGTATTGTTTCTTGTCCTGCTCTCTGGTGCTTTGGAAAAATAAGTTGACCCCCTCTTCTTTGTGACAGCCTCTCAAATATTGGAATACTGCTATCATGTCGCCCCTAGTTCTCCTTTTCTCTAGACTAGCCAAACCCAAATCCTCCAACCGTTCTTCATATGTTTTAGTCATGTTTAATCGTCTTAGTTGCTCTTCTTTGCACTTTTTCCAAAATGTCAACAACTTTTTTGTAATGTGGTGACCAAAACTGGATTGAATATTTCAGGTGTGATTTTACTAAGGCTTTGTAAAGCAATACTAATATTTCATGTGATTTTGATTCCATGCCTCTATTTATACAATCAAGGATTGTATTAGCTTTTTTGGCTGCTGCCGCACACTACTGGCTCATGTTTAAGTGATTGTCCACTAGGACTCCAAGGTCCCTCTCACATTAATTGTTTTTGAGCCAGGTTTTGCCTAATCTGTACTTGTACATTTGATTTTTCCTTCCTAGGTGCAAACCTTGCTTTTCTCCACATTAAATTTCATGTTGTTGGATGGGGCCCATTGTTCAAGTTAGAATAGAATAGAATAGAATAGAATAGAATAGAATAGAATAGAATAGAATAGAATAGAATAGAATAGAATAGAATAGAGCTGGAAGGGACCAGCTCTTAAAAATCTCCAGTGATGGAGCGCCCATGATTTCTGGAGGTGAGCTGTTCCACTGGTTGATTGTCCTCACTGTCAGGAAGTTTCTCCTTAATTCCAGGATGCTTCTCCCTTTGATCTCTTTCCTACCATTGTTTCTCATCCTTCCATCTGGTGCTTTGCCCCTGGCCCCCTCTGCCTTATGGCAGCTCCTCAAATACTGGAACACTGCTATCATGTCTCCCCTATTTCTTCTTTTTTTAAGACTAGCCAAACCCAAGTCCAGTAGCTGTTCTTTGTATTTTTTAGTCTCCGGGCTTTAATCATCTTAGTTGCTCTTCTCTGATTTTTTCCCAACTCTCAACACCTTTTCTGTGATATGGTGACCAAAACTGGCTGCAGTATTCCAGGTGTGGTCTTACTAGGGACCTGGGTGCCTTCTTGGGGGGAGGTCTTAAAGTGGAGCCCTGATAAGGTTTCAACAAGCTGCAATGGAAGACTGGGTGAATTCTCCCTAAAAGTCTAGGGAGTTTTAGTTCTACGGTGACTGGATTGATGATCCTTACTATGGGGAAAGGCCCCAAGAATTTTGGTCCAAATTTTTTGCTGGGCAATTTGAGGCGTAAATATTTAGTTGACAGATAAACCTTTTCCCCAACTTGGAATGTTCTTTGGGGAGCCCTCTTTTTATCAGCCTGCTTTTTATAGGTTTCAAAAGTCTTTTTCAAAGCAGTCTTTGTGTTTCTCCAAACTTCTTCCCACCCCCTCACCCACTGGTCAAGTGTCTGGGAAGCGGAGGGCATCTGAGGGTATTAAGGTATTGGGCTGAACATTTTTCCTGTGGCTACTCTGAAAGGCATGTAGCCGGTGCTGCTGTGCACAGAGTTATTGTACACTACCTCTGCAAAAGGGAGGAGGTCAGTCCAGTTTGTCTGTTGGTAGGAAACGTAGCATCTAAGATATTGCTCCACCATTTTGTTCGCAGATTCTGCAGCCCCATTGGTGGCTGGATGAAAAGCAGATGATAAGCCTTGAGACAATCCAATTAATTTAAGAAAACTCCTCCAAAACTCCGCTGTGCACTGCACCCCCCTGTCTAAAATTATTTGCTTAGGGGTGTCTTGCAGCCGGTAGATATGTTTCAGGAACAGTTTGGTCAGCCATTGGGCAGATTTCCTTCTTGCTGCTGGTTCCGGTCTGCTCTGTAGTCGGGGGTAGGGGACTAGACAGTTTGCTGCTCGATGTCCCTCCTGTCCACAGCGGAAACACTTCATTGATGAGCCTGTAGGTGGCCTGGGTCTCTCAGCCATTGCAGTAGTTGGAGGCTTCCGTGGGGGTGATTGCTGTTCGTGTTGCTCTGGTTGCTGCTCGGATTCAGGTGGAGGAGGCTTCTTATAGCGGGTGAGCTGAACGTCTAGCTTCACCGCTGCCTGGTACCATTCTTGCAGCTGATCAGGTACTCCTCGATAGATGCAGGCTTGAGAGAGGTGATTGTCTAATCCCTCTATGAAGTGATGGATTAGGGATTGCTCTGGCCAACCATCTATTCAACCTGCTAACTTGCGAAATTCTTGCATGTACTCCAGGGCAGGCCTGCTGCAGTTTTATTTTGTGGATTTGTTCTCTTGCCTTTAGGTCAAGAGATAGGTCCTCAAATCTTTCTCTCAGCCCTAAGAGGAAGAAGTGGGGGGTCCTCCAATTCGGGGGCTTGTTCATTGTATAAATTGTTCAGCCATTCAGATGCTTCTCCCTCTAGGTTGAATACTATCACATCGACCATGGCACCTAGGTCTGGGTAGAGATAAGCCTAGCTGTTCAAATGAGAGCGTACTTGGTTGAGGAAGAAAATCAGTTTCTCCGGGTCCCCATCGAAGGTTGCTCTGAAAGGGGGTACAATTATAGCCTATTGGGGTCCCCACTGTGGCTGTTGCTGCTGGCCCCATCCTGGTTGCTGGTTCATGCCCAGGGATTGCACATTCAGGGGCTATGGCCATGCCCCCTGTTGCTGTAAGTCCCTCAGTGGTTGCTGTACTTTCGGGGGTGGTGACCAATCTCCTTGCTGTGGTCATCCTCCCACCAGTTGCTGATCTCCTGGCTTCTCCACCATCCCAAGCTGTTGTAAGGCTTCTATTAGCTGTGGCAAGCTGAGATGTTGCTGATCATCTACCTGTGGGGGGTGCCAATCACCCCATTTCTGCAGAGGCCTCAGACTGGGATTCCCTCTCTATTCAGGGCTGGAGTCCCTGGCAGGGGAAGACAGGATCCGAAAGGCTTTCTGATCTGCAATGGAAGGGCTGTAGGCTCCTCTCTGCAGGAATTGATTTCCGCTTTTCACATCTGGGTTTTGAAATCTTTCCAGTGAGTCACCCAAAGCTTGAGTGGCAGGTGATTTGTTTGCTCCCAGCTGGGAGATCTGCCAGAATTCATCTTCCCATAGCATGCTATCTGTTGCTTCCCCCTCTGGATTATCAGCAGCTGCTGGGTCTTCAAACAAACTCACTTTTTTCATGATAGATTTTCCTTCCCTGAATCTTTACCAGCTCCTCTCAAGCCTAGAGACAGCAGATGGAGTTCAGGATCCCAGGTCATTTGAAAAGGATTTTAGATCTTGGCATGATGTCATGTGTCTGACTAATGAAGCACTTCAAATAACTTTCAGGCATTGTTTAACCTAACAAGCCTTTCTTAGTGTAATGGAGTGTCAGCATGGCATGGAGGGATGCCAAGATCTGAATTTCCCTTCCTTTGCACATAA